GAAGAAAAAAAAAAAAAAAAAAAAAAAAAAACCAACCAAACAAACAAACAAAAATAAACAAAAACAAAAAAAACTCTCTCTAAAAAAAATGTTTCATCATGGAAAATTTCAAATGCATGCAGAGAACAGTACGCTGAAGCTTGATCAGACTCGGGTCCACTTTTGGTTTTCTACTAGGACACAGACACCGTTCTGAACGTCCACGTCTGTGGGCTGCTCTGGTTTGCGTTGTAGCAGCTTTTGAGGGTCACTGTCTTCATCCGTTAATTTGTGAAGAGTTGAAAAATTGTGATCTAAAATCCCTTCTTCATTTACTGGCTAGAGTACACCCATAGAGAAAAGCTTCTCATTATCTGCTTAGCTACCCTGAGGTATACATGCTAAGGACAAACGGGGCGAGCTTTGCCCTGTAAGCCCTCCTAGTATCCTCCATTGACAGCCAGTGAATAGTTTCTTTCTTTTTAATTTTTTTTGAGAGTTTTTTTTTTTTTTTTTTTTTTTTTTTTGCTATAGGGCACGTACACTCACCAGAAAGACAGAGAGACAGAAAGCGAGAAACCACCCTTCGGGGGGATGACCACGCCGCAATCCCTTCTCCTTTCTCCTCTCAGGATCTTGGGCACACATGGACATGCGCCTGGTGTGAGTTTAAGCCACCGGGTCCAGGACTCGAACTGTGGTCGACTACATGGGAGTCCAGTGACATAGCCATTACACCAACAGCTGGTCCCAGCCAATGAATATTTTCAAGATGATTATAAACTCATGATTTCATGCGTCTCAATCAATGACAATTCTCGCACTAACCTGTGTTCAGTCTCATCTCTTGATTTCTGAGCTCCTCCACGCCTCCCTGACGATTCCAACAGTCTCGGTCAGTAGCTTCACTGCTACTAACATGTCTGAGCTCATTTTTATACCTCCTGACCTAGACACAGAACCTGCTGCTATTCCGAGATGCTCTGATTCCCTTTAGCAGGAAATAGTATTTAGCAACCATAACCTGGTCCTAGGGGTGCTCACTGTCACCAGGTTATCACTGTTTCTAAGTGGTGTCAGGAGATAGGACTAGAAAAAAATACCTTTTTTGTGTGAGGGGGGGTAGAGCTTAAAAAAAAAGTCCTTTTTAAGAAAAAAAATATGGGGGCTTTTGGCGGGCTTCCTGGGGGCAATCATGGCTATGGCTAGCGATTTCTACCTGCGCTACCACATAGGGCGCAGGGCGAGTTTGGACACGAGTTTCTGGAGTTCGAGTTTCGGCCGGATGGAAAGCTGAGATATGCCATCAACAGCAATTACAAGAATGACGTCATGATCAGAAAAGAGGCTTATGTACACAAGAGTGTAATGGAAGAACTGAAGAGGATTATCGATGACAGTGAAGTTACCAAAGATGATGCTTTGTGGCCTCCCCCTGACAGGGCTGGCCGACAGGAGCTTGAAATTGTCATTGGAGATGAACACATTTCCTTACCACATCAACACTTGGTTCTCCTATCGATGTAAATCAGTCAAAGGATCCTGAAGGCCTCCGAGTATTTTACTATTTGGTATAAGACCTGAAATGTCTAGTTTTCAGTCTCATTGGCTTACATTTCAATATTAAACCAATTTAAAGTGTATGTTTTTGAAACTTTGTATATTTAATTAAGGACTGAGTAAGGGAGGGTTGATTTGTCATTTACAGTATTGGAATTTGTATGAATGTGAAGCAAACAAAAACCATTTTTGTATGTAAACTGAAAATAAGAAAATACATAAACAGGCTTACTAGTTATTCTCATTTGGATCTAAGTGGGGTGGGAAGTCCCCAGAAACATGAAATTTTGTAAATAAAAATCCCCTTTTGTTGGAATTTTGCCTCAATAAAATACATCAAAGCCTGAAAAACAAAACAAAACAAAACAAAAAAAAAATATGAAACTCATCCAGACTCTTCTAACTCACATTCAGGAGTAAAGTTTATTTGGTTTTTGTTTTTTGGGTTTTTTTTTGGAGAGGTTTTTGCTATAGGGCGCGTGTGCTTGCCAGAGAGAGAGACAGAGAGGCAGAAAGCGAGCAATCACCCACCAGGGGGGATGGTCACGCTGCAATCCCTTCTCCTCCATTCTCCTCTTGGGATCTTGGGCATGCACGCACAGATCTTGGGCACACACGCACACATGCCTGGCATGAGTTTAAGCCACCGGGTCCGGGACTCAAACTACGGTTGACTACATGGGAGTTCAGCGACATGGCCATTACGCTAACTGCTGGTCCCAGGAGTATGGGTTTTTATCTAACCACATTGATTATGTTTCTCTGTTTTCTAATATTAGAAGTCCTAGTTCTCCCTAACACTGACATAATTGTTCATTTGTTTTCTTTCACACATACATAATATAAACATCTATGCCTTCGTATGTGATTATGTATGTACGTAAAGTAAGAACACCAGAAGGAAGTATGCCCAAATGTTCCAAGTGGTACAAAAAGGGATAATGAGGGGGTTTAATTGGCTTCATTAAATCTATTTCTGCATATTTGAAATTTATATAATAAACACATGTTATTGATAATCAGAAAGGGAACAAACGATAATGATAATCTTATTTAAAAATTCCAGTTGGTGGGCCAACCAGCGGTGTTTAAGGTGGCTGGATCCCACCTGGCTGACTGTGTGGTTTGAAAGGCACACCTGCCTGTGTGCCCAGAATCCTGGGAGAAGAGAAGAGAGGGATTGCCATGCGGCCATCTCCCGGGGAGGGCATTTCTTACTCCTTTCCCCCCGCCCGTCTGTATTTGTCTGTCATACAGAGAGCATGCTCATCCTATAGCAAACTAAAAAAAAAAAAAAACGTGCCGTTCTTGTCTTCTTTTTTTTTTTTTTTTTTTTTTTTTTTTTTTTTTTTTGGAGAACTTTTTGCTATAGGGTGCGTGTGCTCGCCAGAAAGACAGAGAGAGACAGAGAGATAGAAAGTGAGAAATCACCCCCCAGGGGGGATGGCCACGCTGCAATCCCTTCTCCTCCATTCTCCTCTCGGGATTTTGGGCACGCACGCACACGCACCTGGCTTGAGTTAAAGCCACCAGGTCCGGGATGAGAACTGCGGTCGACTACATGGGAGTCCAGCAACATAGCCATTAAGCTAACTGCTGGTCCCCATTTTCTTTTTTTTTGCTGTAGGATGCGCATGTGCTCACTAGAGAGACAGGGAGACAGAAAGTGAGAAATCAATGCCAAGAGGGATGGCCACACTGCAATCCCCTCTCCTCCACTCTCTTGGGATTTTGGGCACGCACGTATGCCTGGCATGAATTAAGCCGCTGGGTCTGGAACTTGAACCATAGTGGGCTACGTGGGAGTCCAGTGACATAACTGTTATGCCATCTGCTGGTCCTGCTTCACCCATTTTCAAGCCCTTAAAACTACTCTCCTATGGGACCAGCAGACAGTATAATCATTACGTTGCTGGACTCTGATGTAGTGCACCGCAGTTCGAGTTCCAGACCTGGCGGCTTAGTACTTGTGTATGCCTCAAATCCTGAGAGTAGAGTGAAGGAGGGGGACTGTGTTGTGGCCATGCCCCCTGGGTGTGTGTGTGTGTGTGTGTGTGTGTGTATGAGTTCTTGCTTTCTGTCTTTCTGTCTCTCTAGTGAGCACACATGCCCTGTAGCAAAAATCTCAAAAAAACAAAAACAAAAACAACCCCCCACAAACTATTCCTCTAGTGAATACATGTAGCTCTCTGAGGTACAGAATGTGACCTTAGACTCTGCAGTCCTAAATGCTCCCCTAATAAATAGCGACGCCGCTCACCTCGCTCACAGACACTGTTTCTTCCACTATGATCTCCATTTCTGTCCCAGGCTGAATGTTACTTCCCGTAGCGAAAAACAGGAACAGCTAAAGTCAAGACAGAGGTGTCTAAATTTTAAAATTCCGTAACTGTGTTATTTACAGCAGTAATGCCAAAGGTCCATGAAACTTTAACTATAGACACTCAAATTATGTAAAAACAACGCTATGCTGTGTAATCTAATGTGACAGCTTAAACGGTAACTTTGCCAACTGCTAAGGTAAAAGGCTTTATCATCAACGTTTTCTACCTGGTCAACATTTCTACACCTACTATTTCTTCTCCATCACCTTCATTTCTGAACCAGGTATTCCCCAAAGGAATTTGTAATCACCGCACACAGCGAACACTGTTTTTAACCTGAATCACTTAGTTAGGGTGGTCTGTCCAGGGATTCCACATACGTAATTCCCAAGACCCGGGAGGAGAAAGGGTCGATATGGCCTCTTACTAATTCAGCTCCCCATAGCCTTGCTTTTCCCAGCCCAGCCTCACTTGCCAGGTCTCCTCCTACCAGCCTGCCATACACTGCTACCTGCTAGAGCTCAGGGGAAAGCAAACGAAAGGGAAGCAGTTGGGAAATTCATGCAGTAGAACCAGGACCTGAGGACCTGCTATGGGTCCAGGCTGCCTCAGTTCAGGGTCTTGAGGAGAAGGATATCACGACTTTTGCACAGCAGTAAAAGTTTATCAACTAGGTAGGGCTTCTAGTAAAGGTCAACCTGGTGGTATTTTATACAGAAAAGTACTGATAAAGACAAGGGGAAAGGTAGGCCGCTGTGAGATAACTACTTGATTGCAGAGAGCAGTTAAGTCCAAGATCAATACATTGTGCTTTATTACATCTCAAGTGCCAGCGACTGTTAGCCTAATTTTTCTACCACTAAAAAAGAAAAGAAAACAGAACAGTGTTGGCTAGAACTGTAGGATCCACTGACTGTAGGATGCACCCTGACCTCACAGAAGCTAGAATGTGGGGGGAAAGGTGCATCTCAGTATTTATGAAATATACTGGGTGCAGCTGGTGACATTCAACCTTAAAGAGCCTTGTTAACCACAAAATTTTCAGGTAAACAGAACCTTATGAATATGCTTCGGCATAATGTTTTTATGGAAACATAGACCTATACAATAATTGTCCTAAAATAAAATGTATCACTCAAGGAAGAATAATTTAGAGAAAAACAGCATTACTAGAATAGTTACACTACTAGTTATAATAAACTGAAGACATTAGTTATGGAAGGGTTGATTTTTGTCCTAACAGGTGGCCTTATTTTACCTCAGAGGAAGTCGGTGCTTTTCCAAGACACAATCCCAATAAACTTCCCCTCTTCAGTTCTGCTTCCTTCAAAGTGTAACTGTCTGGCACTATAAAAAATGTTGATAACATGAAGGTTAGTACTCCTACATCTCTGAGCAAAACAATATCCTGAAATCAGTCTTCCTTTGAAAACCCAGAGTATCAAGAAAGAAAAACGAGTTGTAGCTCGTGCAAAAGGATTACCTGCGGTATGGTTATGCTTGATTTTTCAATCTCAACAACCCTAGAAGATACTATTCTTGCTATCTGTGCCACAATGCTGAGAGGTAGCTATGAATATTCTAGATTCTTACTTAACAAAAAGGACACTTTAAAGAGCGGCTGTTTCTATGCCTTACAAGTCCGGTATGCCAGACTGATCTATGAATAATGGACTAGTTTTTTTAAAGTCTTCAGCTAGAGTTGTGACTGCCATCAGTAGGCTCATCCATGACTAAATTAAGTCTAATAAGAAGAGGTGTTGGGGGCTGGCAGGTGGAGTGGTAGTTAAAGGTGCTGCATTCCCACAGGACCAACTGCGGTTCGAGTCCTGGACCTGTTGACTTGCCTTTCACTTTCCCTTTCTCTCTCGTGTGCTCTCTGTCTCTGTCTGGTCAAATTAAAAAAAAAAAAAAAAAAAAAAAGGAATTAAAAAAAAAAAAAAAACTGAAAAAAAAAAAGTTAAAAAAAAAAAGGACAGGTGTTAAAAGAGATGAAAAAGGCGCCAGCAGGTGGTGTAAGCACTGGACTCCCACATGGCTGACCACAGTATGAATCCTGGACTGGGTGACTTGCTTTTTAACCTTCTTTCTTTCTGTCTCTCTCTATTGAGTATGTGTGCCCCTTAGCAAGTTTTAAAAATAGTAATAAATTTTTTGAGATGTTTTTGCTACAGGGCACGTGTGCTCGCCAGAAAGACAGAGAGACAGAGAGACAGAGAGAGAGAGAGAAAGCAAGAAATCCCCAGGGAGATAGCCACACCACAATCCCTTCTCCTCCATTCTCCTTTCAGGATCTGGGGCATGCACGCACATGCACCCAGTATGAGTTTAAGCCACTGGGTCCAGGCTCGAACTGCGGTTGACTACGTGGGAGTCCAGCAATGTGGTCATTATGCCATCTGCTGGTACCAATAATAAATAAAATAAAAATTTTTTTTAAGAGGTGAGAAATAGACTCTACTGCACAATTGGTATCACAATAAAATTAGCAAAACGAGGTCAACTGATGGCATGGTGGTGAAGGCAGCCGGCTCCCACGTGGTACAGTTTGAGTCCTAGACTCAGTGGCTTGAAAGAAAATAAAAGCTACGTGTGTGTGCACATGCATTCTCAAGACCCTGGGAGGAGGATGGGGCAGGGGTTACAGTGTGGCCACCCTCCCTGGGTGTGCTTTCTCACTCCCTTCTTCCCTGGCAAGTGCACATGCCCTACAGCAAGTTAAAAAAAAAATTAGCAAAATAAGAACACTTTGAAAACGAAGCTAGAAAAACAGAACTAGATAAAAAACATGACTAAAATGAAGACCAGACAATCAGAAAGATAGGAGTTTCATTTAAACAAAAAAAGGGTTTCTGTTTCTTATTCTGTTCTTATTTCTTGTAATTTATAAGATACCTGAATGAAAATATATCCTATAAATCAGTTTCTAAAAGGTAATTTAAGAATAGTAGCATTGGAAGCCATTACCTGAAGAAAAGTATTAGGAAAGATAGATGGTAAGAGTGTATGTCTACTTCGGAAAGCCACCCGAGAGATTTACCTAGTTGGGGGCCGGCAGGTGGCATGGTGGTTAAGGATACTGGATTCTCACATGGCTGACTGCGGTTCGAGTCTCAGACTTGGTGGCTTGCTTTCTCATTTTTTTTCTGTCTTTCTCTGGTCAAATTAAAAAAAAGAAAAAAAAAAAGATTTACCTGGATGAAGAAGCCTTCCATTTCTACTGATAGGTCTCAGACAGCTGTTCTCAGCTGTAAAGAAGAAGCAGCTGGTTAGTTAGTGCACCAAACTAGCAAACCAGAGAGATGCTCTATTAAGTCAGTCGGTAGGAAGCTACAATGAGCTTAAGAAAACAGAAGAAAAACCCCTCCATAACCCGAGAAAACAAAACAAAAAAACAAAAGCAACTCAAGAAATAAATACAGGCACTCCTGATTTGCATCGGAGTGCAGGACTGTAGAAACACAAGCCGGAGCTGTGCAAAGCAGTCTTAGTGATCAACAGGAAGAATGACAGTTGCTTCATGACATTTAGGATTTTTGTCAAAACATTTAATATTCCGGGAACCAGCAGTTAGCGTAATGGCTATGTCGCTGGACTCCCACGTAGTCGACCGCGGTTCGTGTCCCGGACCCGGTGGCTTAAAGAACTCACGCTGGGCGCATGTGCGTGCGTGCCCAAGATCCCGAGAGGAGAATGGAGGAGAAGGGACTGCGGCGTGACCATCCCCCCTGGGGGGTGATTTCTCGCTTTCTGTCTCTATGTCTCTGTCTGTCTGTCTGGCGAGCGCACGCGCCCTACAGTGAAAATCTCTCAAAAAAGCTAACAAACATTTAATATTCTGTGGGTATTACATGTATTGAGAAGAGAAAAAAACAGTAAAATTAATATTTCCAGTGTAACTTAAAACACTAGAAACTTGGGACCAGCAGTTGGTGTAATGGCTGAACTCCCATGTAGCCGACTGTGGTTCAAGTCCCGCTGGGTGCATGTGCGTGCGTGCCCAAGATCCCAAGAGGAGAATGGAGGAGAAGAGATTGTGGCATGGCCATCCCCTCTGGGGGGTGATTTCTTGCTTTCTGTCTCTGTCTTTCAGGCGAGTGCACGTGCCCTATAGCAAAAACCTCTCCAAAAAGAAAAACACACACTGAGAGCAGTTTAAACAAAGCCTGTTTCCCGCTGCACAGCTCAGGACAGAGCACGGGTGTCTCTGCTACCCTCTGGCAAGAGGTCACACTCCTTTCTAAGTCTGGATCAGCCGTATTTATATTTCGTGCTTTCGATGAAACCACCTTGAGAGCTCCATCAGTGTGAGGCTTTGACAGCCCCACCTCTGCGGGACACTGCCGTCCTCTTTGTCATGCTGTGTTCCCCACACAGGCCAGGAGTCTACCTGCATCACGGTCCCAGCTGCATGTCCAGAATCTCCCGAGTGACAGCAGCATCGAAATTCCCACAGGAGCTGCCTTCCCTACAGTCCACGTGCTTTTGCTTCTTTGTGCATTTTCTTCTCTGTTCAACTTCCTCTTTTAAATACTCACTTTTATAAATAGCGCCTGGGGTTTACTGCCAGGAGAAAAGGAGGCAGCACAACCACCGCTTCGCAGTCTGCGTGGGGCTGGGTAGCAGACGTGCAGGGCCTGGCTGCTGGGGCCTGACACTGACCACGCTGTCAGTCTGTCAGAGCGTGGCGACTGGGGGACAGGCAGGCTGGCAGCCTGGCGTGCAGTTACTGTTACTCACTGTGGTCGTGGAGATCTGAGCCACGTGGTTGAGGCACTGCTGTCATAACTAAACCGTGGTCACTGACACTCACATGTACCAGAACTGTGCAAAGCTGACTGCCTACATTTTAAACGTTGGGTAATTTTCTGCTTATTAAATGGGTTAAGGCCAGAGTGCACTATTCTGGGGGGTGTGTGTGTGCGCGCAGATTCTTGATTTATTTATTTATTTATTGGAGAGGTTTTTGCTGTAGGGCGCGTGCTCTCGCCAGAAAGACAGAGACAGAGAGACAGAAAGCGAGAAATCACCCCTCAGGGGGGATGGCCACGCCACAATCCCTTCTCCTCCATTCTCCTCTCGGATCTTAGGCATGCACACGCGCCCGGTGTGAGTTTAAGTCACCGGGTCCAGGACTTGAACCACGGTCGGCCACATGGGAGTTCAGTGACTTAGCTGTTACGCTAACTGCTGGTCCAGATTCTTGCTTTATGAGAAAGAGCGTACCATATTTTCAGTACAAACAGAATTCTTACAAAGTAATACGTGAAATGGGGGGTTCTGGTCAGCCAAGAAAGACCTGGGCCTGAGCACTATCACTGTAGGGGGGCATAGCAGAATCCCTTCCTCTCATCCTCCAGGCCAATGTCTTCATCACATAATGTGAAGCCAGCGTAGAATCTGAACACAAATGTCTTGTCAACTGAAACAGTTTATGACAGGTTTCCCAATTTTAAAAGTGCATTTTAAATACTGCCTCCTTAAAATTGTTTCACTTTTATTCAACACACACTTGCTCTGTATCTCCTATGGGCCAGGCGCTGTCCTAGGAGCTGACAATACAGTAGCAAGCAAAACAGCCGTGGACTCTGCCTTCACAGCATGTGAGCGACGGGAGCGTGGGTGTTAATGACAATAAACAAGGCGTTTCAGCAATCCGTGTGAGGAAGGAGCAGGACACTGTCATGACAGTGACACCGAGGTAGTGCGGGCAGGGATGAAGGAGTTAACATTTCAGCAGCCACCAGACGGACAGTGAAGGGAAGAGAGCTCAGAGATAGGTCACTAAGAAGTCTCTGGGGTGGAAGAGAACTTGTGTCCTGAGACTCGGAAGTCACTGCCATGATCGAGTGGGAAAGCGCATCGCACTGCCGTTATGGTTACGGTTACAGTTATGGTTACGCAGGGGTTGGAGCATACAGGCTCTTGTCGGCTGGGCTAAGGAATTAGCTTAAATGCAAGGGGCGAGTGCTGCTGGGCTCCGAGCAGGGTGGCCTGTCTAGCCCACATGCAGAGAAGCGCACCTGCTACGTGAGGGGCGGTGAGCCGAGCACGGGACCAGCGGGTGGAAGGCCGTTACACAGGGAGACAAGCCATTCCTTTTGCTAACCATATACTTTAATGACCTCATTGAGGTACCGTGTACTTATCCTGGAATACCTCCAGTTTCAGTGTGCGGTTCAGTCTGATACGTATATAAACACTCGGCAACACCAGCAAACTGGGACATAATTTGCACCACCCCCAACATTCCTCATGCCATTTTAAAGTCAGTCCCTCGCCCCTTCTAATCTGACCTGCCTTCTGTAACTACAGCTCAGATCTTTTGGTCTGAAGTTTCCTATCTATGGGATCACGCGGTATGTACTCGTTTGTGTCTGCATTCATTTACTCGGCATAAGGATGCGATCCATCCATGCCTCAGTGGTGGGACAGGGACACAGTTGTTCAGAGGAACAGCATCCTATTGTGTGGATACAGCTTATTCATCCACTCACCTGCTCGTGGACTTTAGACTGTCTGCAGTTTGGGCGGTTATGATTATTTATGTGTTTGTAAGGAACAGTGTTTTTAACTTCTCTTTGGTGAGTATTTGGATGTAGAATTGGTAAATGAGAGCTCAGATCTGTAAAAGGCCCAGCTGTGGTTCTGCAGGCAGTAGCATGCTGCTCTGCAGTGCTGGGAACCACGTGGCTGCCTGAAGGTTCTAATCCTGAGACAGCCTGAGACATGCAGGGAGTGCGTGCCCAAGATCTGACTTGCTGGAAGGCTGGGCAAAGGGGACCACGGTGTGATGAGGCCCTGTCGAGCGTGGCTATCTCTTTCTTTCTCAGAAAAGAAAGAAATAAAAACTTAAAACACACACACACACACACACACACACACATACACACAAAACAAAACACTTAAGAAACAGGTCCACTTTCCCAAAGTGACTACCATTTTATACCCCCAGAGGCTCAGGTACTCCCAGTCACTCCACAGCTTTCCTAACACCGGTTTTGCAGTATGCTGAACTGTATTATTCTGACTGCATAATGGTGTGTCTTTACGGCCTGATATTAATGCCAGTGACACACAGCAACGCGTTCTAGTTTTCAGTGTGCACTGCATTATTTTATTGAATGTATCCTTAAGTATTTTATAATATTGTGCACTTATGTATGTTTTTCTTAGCTTTGATGCCCATTTTTTGGTTACCAGTAAATAGTAATACAATGGATTTCTGAACTGATTCTGAATTCTTGCTAAACGTGCACAGTGAGATAGCAGTCCACACTCAGAAGAAGGACTACAATCCCAAAGACAATTACAATACTGGAAAGGACACGGGGTGACTGCAACCCGACAACTGCTGGCGGGAATGGAGGTTTCCTATAAAGTTAAGTGTAAATTTGCACATGACCCAGAAATTCTAATTCTGCATCTCTACCTACCCAAGAGAGCTAAAAGCATATGTTAACTCAAAGACTTACACGTGGGGCTGGAGGATGGGTAAGGGGCTGAACTCCCAAGTGGCTGACCGTGTTCTGAGTCCTGGGCCTGGTGGTTTGTTTTCTCACTCTCTCTGTCTGTCTCTCTCTGGTCAAACTGAAGAATAATAATAAATAAATAAAAATGAAAAATGAAAAAATAAACTCTCCTCAAATTCTTAAAAAAAAAAAAAAAGACATGTGCAAGTGTTCACAGCAACATTATTCCTAGAAGTTCAAAAGTGGAAATAATCCTTGGGACCAGCAGTTAGTGTAATGGCTATGTTGCTGAACTCCCATGCAGTTGACCGCAGTTCGGGTCCTGGACTCGGTGGCTTAAAACTCATGCTGGGCGCATGTGTGTGCGTGCCCAAGATCCCGAGAGGAGAATGGAGGAGAGGGATTGCGGCATGGCCAATCCACCAGGGGGTGATTTCTCACTTTCTGTCTCTCTGTCTCTGTCTGTCTGGCGAGCGCATGCGCCCTAAGCAACAACAACAACAACAAAAAGGAAACAATCAATTGTCCACTCTCTGGGGAATGGTTAAAAAATGTAATACATACAAACAATGGAATACTAGGCAGCAGTAAAAGGACAAATGCTAGATGCACGCCAAATCACGGCTACACCACAAAAACAGCATGCTAAGTGAAAGAAGCGGCACCAAAGACTACAGGTTATATGGTCCCCCCCCTTTTTTTTTGGAGAGGTTTTCGCTATAGGGCGCGTGCACTTGCCAGACAGACAGAGAGAGACAGAGAGACAGAAAGCGAGAAATCACCCCCCAGGGGGGATGGTCATGCCGCAATCCCTTCTCCTCCATTCTCCTCTCGGGATCTTGGGCACGCA